GAGGCGCCCTAAGTCAATAAGGGCCGTCTCGACGGAAATCCTGGGGTCAGCCGCAATGGCAAATAAGCCCGGGAAGCGGGTGGCCAGAGGGAATCCCCAAGCCAGCGGTCGAACCAAAACAGGGTCGAGGACCCAGAACCCACCGAGATAGAAGTGCCAATTCGGAGCACGGGGAGGAGCTAGATGACAGCCTGCCAGAACTGGGATCCCCCAGAGCGCTGGCAGAAAGCAAGAGGTTGTCCTCGGAGGTACTTATTCTTGATGATGGTAAGCCAGAGGCCGCCCTCTCCGTTGGCGATACGCCATAGCCATCGGGTCAGGAGCGCGATGTTCATCCGACGGGAGGACAAGATCCCCAGACCTCCCTGGTCTTTGGGTTTGCAAATGTCCGGCCAGCTCACCATATGGTATTTTTGCTTATCCCCCTCGCCAGCCCAGAAAAACCTAGACTGATATTTGGCCACCTCCTGGTGAAGCGTCTCATGGAGTCTATAGAAGCTCATGAGGAACCAGAGGAGGCTTGCCAGCGAGGAGTTGATGAGGATTACCCGCGCCGTCTTCGAAAGCCATCGGCCCTTCCAGGGCTCGACCCGGTGTTGCATTCGGGTCACGGAAGGGCGGAGGTCCGCTACGGTGAGGCGCGAGTCACTAATGGGGATCCCCAGATAAGTCGTGGGGAAAGAACCCAGGCGGCAATTAAGCCGGTCCGCAATGTCCTGGGCCTCCTCCGGTGGGTATCCCAGTACCATCACTTCGCTCTTATCAAAGTTGATGGTCAGACCGGACATTTGTTGGAAGCAGAGGAGGAGGAACTTCAGGTTGGCAATATCAGACGCGGAGCCCTCTACCATTATTATGGTGTCGTCAGCATATTGTAGGAGGGAGACCCCCCCCCCCCCTCCTACAAGGTGTGGGACCATGCCGTGAATGTATGTTCCTTTTCATATGGAACACTCTTCGGAGCATGACTTTGCCCATTTGTTTGATTGTACTTAAGTTGTGGATATTCTGTCTGGTGCAGATTACAGTTTATCTATCTCTCAGGGTCAGTGCTGAGCAGTGTTCATGTTTTAATTGGTGTTAATTCAGTGCTTCGTGGAGCCCTGTGGTGTACATTTCTTATCATTCTGCACGTATTTTATTTTCTTGCTATTCTATTGTATACTCCGTACGTTCCAGAATAATTCATTGTATGACATTATCAGGATTCTTCAAGTGTTACAGGCCAGAATGGTGTTGCTTTACAGTCATTAGTAAGAGTTACAGGCCAGCAGGTAGGCGATGCTGAAAAGGAAGTTAATGCCAGCGGTGGAGAAAATACTCTTGCAGATCTACGTCATTTAGAGCCTCAAAATGCGGCAGCTGTGCCCAGCCAGGCTGCCTTGCCCATGCCTAAGGAAAAAACTGATACACAGACAAATCGATCTGCCCAACCAGATGTAGCGCAAGCACAACCTCCACAAGGAGAGGTAGAGCAAGCAGGTCTGTCTGGTGTGGCATCGCCTCAGCCTTTACAACCAGCACAACTTGCGCAAGGAGAGGCAGAACAAGATCTATCTGGTGTAGCTTTGCCTTCACAACCTGAAACCCGACCGTCAATATCTGGGTTTGTCAAAACTCGGTCCAATCTTGAAACTCAGTCTGTCCAACAAAGTATAGCACCCGTACAATTTCCACAAGAACAAGCAGGTCTGTCTGGTGTAGCATCTGCTCAGCCTTTGGTGCCTGAAATGCGGCCATCAAACCCCTTGTCAAATATTCCGCTTGAAAGAGCACACCCAAATCGGGGTCAATCAAGTCGTCAACCAGAGGTCGCAGCTGGTCCTGCCCAGCCTGCACAACTCTTTCCGGTGCCGTCGATGATGTTTAATCACCCACCAATTGGTGATGAACCACTGAAAAATGAGCTGCACAGGTTACGGTTACACATTGACTCACTTGATAAAATCTATGAATTAAAGGTTTGCATTTTTTCCTCTTGCTTGCATACATCTTGAGTTTGAATTTGTCATGCTAATTCTGGATTCATCATGTTCTCATTGATTCCACTTTCACTTATGAACAGCAATCACAGCTTCAGACAGAGTGCAGCCAAGAAATTGAGAAGATAAAACAAAAGTATGATTTGTTACTTGAGGAACGGGATTCTGTTCACCTTGAGCAAATGAAGACACTTGATGGTTTATTGGAGAAAGTTGTCTTCCACCAATCACTAGCTGCCGATTTCCGAGCGAAATTCATATCATCATCTGCAGCACAAGGTAATCAATATAGGCAATCATATTTAATGTGTAGAGAAGGATTTTGTGAGCCAAATTTCTGCTGCCACTTCTTTTTTTTATCGTGGGTTTTGGATTCGAAGATTCAGTTTTCCTCCCTACATATTTGTTTTCTGTTCTTCAGTTTTTGGATGATCAATTATGTTTAACGCTTTATTACTTTGTTTTCATAATGAGTTTCTGAGCGCAAACGCCAAGCGTGTATGCTTGTCAAGTTGTCATGCTCATGGTTTGAATAGGCTCGTGCTGAAAATATTAACAGTAGTTGTGAATTAAGTTTATCCTCACAGATTTATTGATCACTAATGCTCATTTCTTTCTTTGCAGCAAAAGCCTATAGCCGTCCAATTCATCAGACACCCCAGGCTTCTCAGCAAGCACCCATGAGGCCGCCAGGTGTGACATCGATTTCGCCGCCAGTTGCGTGGTCATCAGCTGGTCGACCAGTAGTGCCGGGAGGTGCACAGCCATCACAGGTGGATCGACCATCAACGCCGGCATCATCACAGGTGCCTCGTCCGCCATTGCCATCTACACCAGTAGTCCGGCCTCCCATAAACCCTGGCAACCTTGTCAGAACAACAGGTGCTCCCATGCCTCGAGTTCCACCACGTGGAAGCCATGGAGTTCCGAGTGCATCCGCTCCTCATCTTCAGCGCAGATTGCCGCCTCGGGCGCATTCCACGGCCCCTGCAAATCAGAGGCAGCAGCAGCAGCAGCATGCCACATCTGTAAGCCCGCAGTCTTCACATGCAGTTCCCCCTGTGAGCTCATCACCCTTGCCGCCGTCAAGTTCACAAGCAACTCACCATGGTTCGTCGACTCGGATGGATGTGGATGTGGTATGCCTGTCTGATGATGAGTGAGGAAGAGGACCTAGACTAATGACTAGAGAGTAGGGGTAGGGGAGCCTGACAAGGAATGGACGATCAACCCATTCATTCGGCTCCATGTTTGTGCACCGCCGTAGTACCGCGCCCTGTATATGACCGTCCTACCTTCTGTTGCTGTAAATTGCGAACCACCAGGTGTTAAGAATGTGTACTTGTTCGTCCATGTTTAATTATGGGTCCTCATCTCATCCTGAATTTCTTATGTTATTAATAGTTGTGTTACGGCATTGATAAATTTGATACACCAATGACCCAAGGAGGAAGCAAACTCCACACAACAGAGCAAGCCATTCTAATTTAATTTATGAACAAACATGAAAATCACCTTATTTATTTTGGTTTCCAAAGTTTTACCTGAACTATCTTGCCTTTGCTGGTTTTTTTCTTTCTATTTTCACTTCTAAAAGGTCCCATGGTTTTCAATGTTTTACTCATATCTAAAAAATAATCACACGTTTTTTTAAATGAAATTTGATTGCTGGGAAAGATTTTTTTACTTGTTTTATGTACTCCCTCGGATCCATATTAATTTGTGAAGTAGTTGTACCGGCCAAAGCCATTTTAAAAATTGTAGATCAGTGTTGTACAACTCAAACTGGCATTCAACCCTCACATGCTCCCATGATACCAACTTAAAAATTTCAAATTTAAACATCTCAAAAAATTCTGAAAAAAATCATGCATGTTCACAACACATATGTCGACAACCCTAAAAAATTTAGATCAAAATTCGAAATACACATGGAGAAACAAAAATGACAAATTCAGACGTGAATAGTGTCATTTTTGCTTTTATCTTCTTTTGACACTATTCATGAAAGATTTGTCTTTTTTGTTTCTCGGTGTATATTTTGGATTTGGATCTAAATTTTTAGGGGATGTCTACATATATGGTGTGAACATCCATGATTTTTTGCAGATTTTTTTAAAACGTCTAAATTTGAATTTTTTAAGGTGGTAGCATGGGAGCATTTATGGGTTGGTATCACCTGATACGAACATGTTCACCATGACATAACCTGTTCATCTAGCGCAAAAAAATACTCCCTCTGTCCCATAATGTAAGAGGGAGTACTAGTGTTTTCTCTCTTAGTTTATGAAAGTATGAAATCTTGCACTGATCTCAATGTTAAATCGGTCGGTCTTCGATGCGACTAAGATTTAACTAATTCTCAGGCGAATGAGAATGAGCATATGAGATAAGAACTAGTTTATGTAAGTAGAACAAAAAAAAGGACAGAAACCACCATGTACAAATTAAACTATTGCAATAACAGAATGCCAATACAAGAATGAAGAATATAACCACCGTTATTTAAAAAAATTTCTCTGTGCTTTAGGTTGTGGTTCATTCCTGTGCCGACTGCCAGCTCTTAGAAACCATTAGATATGTCTTATCTGGGTTACTTTGAATTAGATGACACAATTTAATCCGACCCTTTCTAAAAGAGGTTCTAACTCAAACCTCTCTACTATCTAATAATGTCAAAGCTAGTATTTTATGTCTGCATGTCTCAGTTAAGCAGAAGTGCACTTGAAGCAGGAACACAAGATCGAAATTCTTTCAGACTTACCAAGAGCAGCTAGTTCAGTAAAATACAGATTGCATTCGCGTGCAATACTTGGAGCTTCTTTTATGAATTTACAAGACATTAACAATTCAATATATAGTACATCACAAACCAAACAATGCCGTCCATCACCGCTGACAAATTTAACAGAAATGTCAAAATAGCATGACTATGTAAAGTGTCAACTATAGTTATATATGTTACTCAGGGAATCCTTTAAGATCTGATCAATGTCGTTGCAGTGCCGGTCGTATTTTTCAAACAGATGGTTCTGCTCCCAATGCTAGCATCTCGTGACAGTCGCTCTCTCTGAAGCTGACATGCCTCGAGTAAATAGGCTCATCTGTGAAAGCGCCTAAAGCAGACACATCAAACAGATGGAGTGAAGCATCTGCAAAGGAAGTATCAGTGAGTTTGGAACTTGTTCTAGGGATTTGCTATACAGAAGAATGCATACTACTCTAGCCGAATCATGTAATATCATCTTGACAAATAACATTGGGAGGTTGTTGATTAAAGAGGGGGAAATCGACAAAAGCTTTGGGCGTTGATGCACCAAGGAGAAGAAAATGCTACAGGGGGTATTTTATATTTGCAAACAGAAGATTAAAATGTACTGAGTAATTACCACTGGTTACAAAAGGTATGTCATAGTCCTCATCGACCATTGTCAAGGATGCTTGCTTTAATAACACGGATCCTGAAAATTCATCTGCAGCGGGGCAATGGAGCGTGACTGAACCGGGTATGTCATTTGCAGCGGTGCTTCCATGGTATTGTTCGGAGCCAGAACCAAGGTAAACACTGATGTCAAAAGACGCATCCTGGGAGAGTACGATGCACATAATGATATCAGATGACAGATTATAGACCAACTGAGTTATTAAACATAGAGGAAATTTTGGGCCACCTTTGAATGTATTCTGTGTTCCTGTTTTGAAAGAGATAGTAAGAGCCCTCCCATCCATTAAAGAGAGATGGCAGGAAACAAAGCACAACTTTTGCAAACAAAGGAAAGAGGATATTCTATTGCAGCGCCAGTTTGAGCAATCCCCCCGGTTTCAAGTAAACGAGGAAAGTAAAGAAGAAGCTAGCTACATATGTGCCTTAATACTTGCTCTATTTTTTCCCGAAAAGAAAACTTCCCTTGGGCTTCATAGCCAGAGTATAACAAAGACAATTCTATACAAAAGTAATTCTGATGAAATGTACTACAAAATCACAAAAATAGTATAGTCCCGAGTAAGATTGGGAATAATGACAATTCACTCTGGAGGATATGAAAGTAGCTGAATTGCATTACAAATATACTTTTTGCAGGACCTATTATATAACAGCATTACTTACTTCTTCATTTGGTGTCACTCGTATGGATCCAAGCCTTTTTAATGTGCACTGCTTGGGATGACTGCCTGAAGTACCTTGATGACCATCAGCTTCATGAACATTTCGCTCTGCACAATCTAAGTTTTCATGCCAATAAAGCACTTCAGTTGCTTGTTAAGAAGTTAATATTGTTGTCAAAAAAGATGACAGGCATGTGGACAGTATTTACTCTGTTGATGTCCTTGCATAAATTTAGGTTCCAGCATGATCGACCCTTGGGAAATACTCTGGTTGATTGGTCTTGGTTTTCCATTATCCATTACATAATCAGGCTGAAGGTTGGTCCAAGTTTCATATGCAACTTTGCTCCATTGTTCCACCCGCCCCTGCAAACGTGAACCCCGATAAGTGTACATATACTTCAGAACATGTTTGTGAAACCAAAGCAAGATTAACAACCTTTTCATCTTTCTGCAACACTAAGTTCGGAACTTCGAGGCCTTTTTTGACGATAAAGAAAATATTCGCTGGCCTGCATCCTGAGATGCACACAGCCAAGAACTTCATGTACCCAAATTATATGTGCATGTTATAAAGTGCATTGAGATAGCTCATAGCTGACTGATTGAGGTTATACGTTTGCAGAATGTATCTGTTGTTTGATCTTTTTGTCAAAGTCAACAACTGTCATGAGTAAAAAAATACTAGATTTCCAAAAACTAATGATAATTTGTTATAAGAAGAGATGTATGTCCATACAAAACTTATTTATTCTGAATTCTTATGCATTTCTCTTGTATGCATGGAGCTGTTATGTTAAAATGGCAAATTCATTATGCACAACCTGCAATTCAGAAATTTCTAGGAGAAGCTCAAAATAGTATGAGAGGAACACCTGCATCCGTTGATCGAGGTTCTTGAAGGGAGTGTACTGGTCACTGGATGTGACTCCAACAATCCTATAGAAACAGTTGAAGAACAGAACAACATCATGGCCTTCCACGATGAAAGAGTAAAGCTCCTTTCCAGGATCACACTTTTTAGCATGATCAACAATAGTCGTCCATACTAGCTTTGTGGCCTTTTTGAGAACCTAAATGCAGCGGGAAATAAACTTAACTTGCTATCATACTCAGTATCAAAGTGAGCAAGTAGTACAGAAGGAATTCATTTCTTACTTTGCGGAGAGTATGTTCATCCTTGTAATATGACGTCAAGAAATCCTTCACAGAAAAGATGCCACTCCCTTTGAGTGCCTCATGGAAGACACCATCCTTTGAAATTTTCTGCAGGCGCCAAACATCATCATCCAATGATGGAATGTCATGCTTTTGGGATCCTGCAAGTACAAGAAATAGATTGATCGCTAGTTTCAACATCGCAAAAAAACTAAGTTAACAAAAAATCAAATTTTAAATCCAAGCCTACCTTCTCCGCGACGATCCTTTACTGTGAAAGGTTCAGTTACCCCTTCTAGGATCCGTTCACCAAGCTCGTCAACAACCATTACCCCAAGCCTGAACTTGCCACTCCTCGTGAACTTGGAGTTATCAATAAAAGTAGCGTCACGGAGATCAGCCTTGCCATTCTTCAGGCTAAGCTCGAGCTCTCCCGTCAGCACTGCCCCAATTTTGTCCCGTGGACGTACGATATGTCTGCTGAAATTCTCTAATATCCAGCAATCTTCATTATCTATGTTGAAGTCGCCATCGAGAACAACAATTTTTATCTTGGCAGAAAGAAGGCGATGAGAATTGTTCTCTTGTTGGTTGTTGTCCTCCAGACATATCTTGAGAGGATCGCCATTTGCTGCGCGGATTCCCTTCTTTGTGAAAATTTCATTACTCAAGCCATTCAGGAACCTAAGCTTGTATCTTGGAGGCTGGTTTTGGTCAACCACCGTTCTGCACAAACTGTGTAACGCAGCACATGAGAAGGTCAAGGCAACCATAAATGGTATTTAAAGGGCAAAAATTTAGTAAAACAAAAACTTATATTATTACTACTATTTTATGGTTGGACAGAAAAGTGGTGTTTGTAGTCAGGAAATGGTACCTAGGAGCACGGCTTAAGTAGCCTGTAATCGCTTTAGTCACCGCTTCTGGTATCTGTCGAAAGGAAGAGGAAAACTTTGAGTGGTTGACCTTCCGAAAAAGTCCAGAAATTGCCATAATAAAGTAAACTACTACCTCCATTCCTAAATATAATACGTTTTGGCAGTTTAAATTGAACCAACAAAACGTCTTATATTTATTTTTTTAGGAACAGAGGGAATACAAAAGAACAGGATCACAAAAGACTGCTATCTTCATAGTATTATGCATCACTAACATCAATAGCACCCTCTGTTAATGAAACATATAGCACATATCCTCTCATCTTGATTTTGGTTTAAACCAATTTCGACGGCCACTGGAATTAGCTAAGGTCTTCAATTTGGCCGAAGATCCAGCATTTTCGTCTGGATCTCACTGAAATGAAATCACCGCAATTTCCAGAAAATATCTCTTTGCAGAATGTCAATGGAATTTGAAATGGCCAACCTACTAAATGGCGCCTAGTGTTCCGTCACATCAGATTGCATTGCAGACAAATAGGTTCCGTTCAGTAGACTAGTTAGTGAACCGCGTGCTACTGCTACATGATCAACGAAAAGGTCAATCAATATATACCATGTAGTTTATCAAGAATCTTCATGGAGTGTGAGATGATTGATTACCCGGCTGATGGCAGACTCAATCACGGACTCAACCGCAGCCTCCACCCTCTGCACGCAGTTGGTGACCATCTCCTCCAGATGCCTGCATCCCCTGATCTCTCTGCAGAGTAATCAATCAAACGGTCAATATCTCTTACGAGTCGAGAGTTGAGACAAGAACGGATCAAGAAAGGGACGGAACGCGAGGGAAAGAAGAAGAAGAAGAAGAAGAAGAAGAAGAAGAAGAAGAAGAAGAAGACGGGAGACTCACAGGTCGAAGGAGCGACACCTCTTCTTCAGCGCTGGCGAACGCGCCGGCGACGGGGAGTCCCCTCCGCCGCCGCCCTCCAGCAGCCGCTTCGCCGGCATGGGCGGGCGCTAGCTAACTGGCTGCTCAGCGCGGCGGGAATCGGCTGCAGGTCAAGCCAGGTAGTCTCGCTCGCTCGCTCGCTTGCTTGATTGCTGCTCTAGACTCTAGTCAATGTCAATGTGTGTGCTTCTGGTGCGGTGGGGAGTGAGGAGTGGGGAGTATCGGCGCTCATGTTTATATATGGCCCCGCTTGAGACAGGAAGGGAAATGTTCCGCACTTGTCCTCCTCTCCCCCTCCGGGGCGGGCGAGGCGAGCGACGCGGCCGGGGAGAAGATTCCTAGGAGAGACGCGGCCGGGGCGAGCCGATGTGTGATATCTTCATCCATCAGGATCCAAGTCCAAAACTTAAAATTGATGCTCACATTATTTCTAAATTTATTTTAGGTTTTTGGCAATATTTGGTAAGAGCACCTTCAACAGACGCGCGGTTACGCTGCGTGCTAATTTTTTTGCAGCGCCGAAATAGCATTTTCAAAAAAAAAAACGCGAATACGCTAAGGATGCGTATCTTTCCATTGATAGAAGGAGAGTGTTTACAGCATGGGATTAGGACGACACACTATGCCATGTACACAAAAGGGAGGCATGGAAGTGGACGTCGAGCAAACAGAAGGGGTTGCTCATCCCCAAGAAAATCCTAGCCTAGCGCTCTGGGATGATGTTGGCGATCACGGCGGCGCCGGCCTGGGCCCAAAGGCGCGCTTCGTCCTTGATGGTGGAGCACAGGTGGGAGACAGAGGGTCGGTCCCCGTCGAAGGTGCAGCTGTTTCTATGCTTCCAAATCCACCAAGCGGTGACGATGATGAGGGAGGACAGGCCTTTCCTCATGGCAGCGGGCGCGAGAGCACAAGAAGAGGCCCACCAGGTGAGGAAGTCGGTGTCTCCAGTCGGCAGATTGGTGGGAAGGCGAGCCCAAGCAAGAACATCGTACCACACCTGGCGGGAGAAGGAGCAGCCAGCCAACAGGTGTTGCATCGTTTCATCTTCTTGGTCGCAGAGGGCACATGCGGGCTCATGGGGCAGGCCATGCCTCGCAAGACGCTCTGTCGTCCAGCATCTATCTTGGAGGGCAAGCCACATCAAGAACTTAACGCGAAGTGGTGCCCAAGATTTCCATGTGAGCCTCCAGTGTGGCTCCTCGCAGGCACCAAGGAAAAGGGCCTGGTAACACGAACTGGCAGAGTAGGTGCCTGAAGAGGTCCAGCGCCAACGGATGATGTCCGGAGAGTCGGTAAGCTGAAAGTGCCGAAGCGCCCGCCAAAGCTGCACGTACTGCACCATGGCCTTCGGGCCGAGAGCGCCGTGGATGTCATGAACCCAGGAGCGTTGGGACAGACCATCACAGACCGTGCAAATCTTGCGCCATCTCTTCGGGATCAGTTGAAAGAGCTGAGGAGCGATCTCAGAGACTGAACGACCATCTATCCAGTTGTCCGTCCAGAACATGCACTTGTCGCCGCGGCCAACGCTCCAAGTGGTCGAGGCGCGGAAGATGGCGCCGACAATGGCATCATGCGGGATATGCAAGTGGCTCCAGGGGCGCGAGGGATCGGTGCGCTGGAGCCAAAGCCAGCGAGCACGGAGGGCGATGCCCACACGCTGCAGGTCGCGGACGTCCAGCCCACCGAGATGGATAGGCCGGCAAACTCGCTGCCAGTTGACCATACATTGACCGCCATTGGCATCCTTACATCCGGCCCAAAGGAATCCACGGATGATGCGGTTGACCTTCTTGAGAAAGGTCTGGTTGAAGGCGATGACCGCGAGGAAGTGAGTAGGGATAGCGCAAAGGACGTGGCGAACGAGGGCCAGCCGGTCACCACAAGAGAGGATGGAGGCGCGCCATGTAGATAGCTTCCGCTCAAGCTTGAGCACGATGGGCAACAGGCTGGACGAAGACGGCTTGCGGATGGAGAGAGGCAGGCCAAGGTATTGCACGGGGAACTGCGTCATGGGGCAGTGCATCTCGTCGGCAATGAGGGCCGTGTGCTCGTCGGTGCACCTGATCGGAGTGGAAGAGCATTTGGTGAAGTTGGTCCGCAGGCCGGACGCGACGCCAAAAACGTGCAGGATCTCCGTGATAGCCGTCAAGTCATGGCGGTCGGGGTGGCAGAAGATGACGACGTCATCGGCATATAGCGAGATGCTGGAACTGGCGTGCCGGGGCGTGAGACGACGGAGAAGCCCGAGATCAACCAAGCGGAGAAGCATGGAGTTGAGGACGTCGATGACGATGGTGAATAGCATAGGGGAGACGGGGTCTCCCTGCCGCAGCCCGCAAGCGTGGTCGATGGGCGGCCCGGGTTGCCCGTTGATCAAGACCCTAGTCGAGGCGGTAGATAGGAGGATCGAGATCCAGTCCCTCCAGCGTTGCCCGAAGCCAAGGTGTCTCAGTGTCTCCAGGAGGAAAGGCCACGAGACGCCATCGAAGGCCCTAGCGATGTCGAGCTTGAGCAGCATGCGCGGTGACTTGAGGTTGTGGAGGAGGCGGGCCGTCTGCTGAACCAGGAGGAAGTTGTCGTGGATGCATCTCCCGGCAATGAATGCGCTCTGGTTAGTCGAAACCATGCCACCGAGCTTTGGGGCGAGGCGAAGCGATAGAACCTTCGCGAAGATCTTGGCGATAAGGTGTATGAGGCTAATGGGGCGATACTCTGAGAGTGCCGCTGCGTCCGCGCGCTTGGGGAGGAGGGTGAGAAGCACCTCATTGAGCTTTTGGAAGCCGCGCCCATTGGCGGTGTAGAACTTGTTGAACGCATCATGGATATCTTGCTTGATGATGTCCCAGGAGGCTCGAAGAAACTCGGCCGTGAAACCATCCGACCCTGGCGCTTTGCCGTATGGTAAGCACTGCACCGCGCGCCAAATTTCCTCCTCGAAAAAAGGTTCATCGAGGTCATCAAGAGGGGAGGCGTACTGCCGAAGGATTGATTGATCAATGGAGAACTCCCGCGCCTCAGTCGTGCCAAGGACGCCCGACAAGTGGCTGAAGGCGGCCTCGGCCATGGCGTCGTGGCTAGTGACAGTCAGCGCGCCAACCTGGAGGGAGGTAATGGCGGTCCGTTGCTTCCTATGAGAGGCGTGGATCTTCATGTAGGAGACGACCATGTCGTCGCCGCGAAGCCAGGCGAGACGGACACGCTGACGCGTGATGGACCGCTCAAGGGAGGCCAACCCAAGGTAGGAACACTTAAGCTTCCAATGCAACCAAGCCTCGCCGTGGCTGAGCGGCCGGAAGTCTTGGGCGACATCAAGCCTAGCGACGATCTCACGAGCCACCTTGAGCTGGAGGGAGACGTTGCCAATGGTGCGCGCACTCCAAGATTGCATGCGACGAGCGGTGATCTTGAGGCGCGCCACGATGCGACGGTAGGGGCCAGGGGCCCGATGGATGGAGTTCCACGCCTCGGAGACCACGTGGTGGAACCCGTCGAGCTTCGGCCAGAAGCGCTCGAAGTGGAAGCAGCGCGCGCTAGGCGGGCGGGAGACACAATCCACGAGCAGGGGGCAGTGGTCGGAGGCCGCAAAGGAGAGACATTGGAGCAAGCAGTTTGGATGGGCGATCTCCCAACCGGATGTGCAAAGCACGCGGTCAATGCGGACAAGCGTTGGAGCCTCGCGCTCACTAGACCTGGTATAACGGCGACCGTGAAGGTAAAGGTCATGAAGCTCCTCTTCAGCAATGAACCGCCGAAATCTGTTCATGCAGCGATGATTGATACGCTGGTTGTTCTTCTCATCGGGCGCAGCACATGTTGAAATCACCCCCAAGAAGCCACGGGCCAATGCGGGATGCACACACATCGCGGAGGTCGTTGAGGAAGTCGAGTTTGGCCGCGTCCTCCTACGGTCCATAGACTCCGGTGAGCCACCAATGGCCACCGTCGTCCGACGGGGTGACAAGAGCCATGATGTGGTGATCTCCAATATGGGGGTTCGAGATAGAAACGTCGGGGCTACGCCAGGCGAGGATGATGCCACCGCGAGTGCCATCTGCAGGCAGGGAGTAGAATCCCTCATAGAGAGGGCCGAGAGTGTCTAGAACAAGAGAATCGGTGACGGCCGCTAGCTTGGTTTCTTGCAGGCACACAATAGAGGGCAAAGTAGCGGTGATCACGCTACGGACAACAGTGCGC